TGTACCTTCCGCATCGCAGCCTGCCGTTCACTCAGTCCCTGCAGCCAGGACTGTGGACTCTGCTCAGCCACAAGGCGTCACTCAGTGTGTGAGTGGTACCTCCAGGATGCTAAGGACGGGGCCCTTCACTCAGTGATGGCACCTCCCTTTAGGTGGCTACAGGGGCAAGGGGGTGGGTCCCTCCCTCTGTGATTAGTGCGTCGCAGGGTCAAGAAGGCAGCCCCAGGCACTTACTTCTTTGGTCTCCACAGGGCATGGGTCAGCCTCCGCACAGAGAAAGCCACCTCCCAGTGCAGAGCCACCGTCCCTCGCCCTCCCCAGGATGCCACACAAGCAAGGGCTGGCTGCCTCTCCCTTGCAGGGCCCTCCCAAGATTCCTTTCCTATCCAGCCTTCCTAAGGGCAGTCCTGGGATGGCTCCTGGAACACACTGAACTTCTAACTACACCCTGTTCCTGGAACACTAGAGCTGTTGTCTAGAGGAGCCCCTTCATTTCTCAAAGGTAATTTATCTCCTGAGGTGACTCACGGGACTTTCTGGCCCTTTCTTTTGATGAAGAGACCCAAAACTGCTCAAGTTCAGCCTCTCCCAGAGCCCCTGCCATGCTTTCACCCTTCATTCATTCATTCCAAAAACATCCTCCAAGAGTTTCACCACAGACCCAGTTGATGACTTTTTCCCCATGAACCCTTATTTTGGAAGAATTTTGCCTACTGCAATTGTCAAGTTAGAACTTACTCATTTCCCATTTGTAATTGATCGAGAAAGTCCCTATGTGGGGCAAACAGTTTGAGCTTGACTGCTAGCCTAAAGGTTGATGGTTTAAACCCACCTAGCAGTGCCACAGAACACATACAACCAAGAAAACTCTGTGAAGCAGTTCTCCTTTGTAACACATGGGGTCGCTGTGAGTCAAAATCAACTCGAAGGCAATGGATTTGGTTTGCATCATTCTCCAGTATCTGCCACAGACAGTGGAGGTAGGCTCCAAAGGGGGCTTTCTTCACTGACTGGAATGAGGGGAAGGGGCGAGGGGGAGTCAGATGGACAGACAGCAGGCAGGTGATAGGAGCTGACTGGTTTTGACTCCTCCAAGATGAGAACCCTAGCATTCACATCTGCGCCCCCAGCATTTCTCACAGGGCCTGGCATCTCCTGGCTCAACAAATGTTTCTTGGAAACATGAACGGGTACCTGGCTAGACAGGTAGATAGGTGAGGGAGTTAGGTGGATGGATACAGAGAGGGTAAAAAGGAGAGAAGAGACGAGACATACTTAGAAGAGAAAGGGGAGTGTCTTAGTTATCTAACCCATTGCTGTCAAATCAGTTCCAACTCATAGTGACCCTGTAGGACAGAACAGAATTGCCCCATAGCATTTCCAAGGCTGTAATCTTTATGGAAGCAGACTGCCACATCTTTTTCCAGTAGAGTGGCTGGGGAGTTCAAACCACCAAACTTTTGGTTAGCTGCCCAGTGCTTTAACCACTGTAACAGCAGGGCTCCTTGTTAGTTACCTACTGCTGCTACAACAGAAATAGCACAAGTGGGCGTGGCTTTAACAAACAGAAATGTATTTCCTCACAATCTGGTGTGCTGTT